TACTATGGGATGTTGTGAAGTTAGGCCTTTAACTGGATGGGTTATCTGCTAAACGCCGGAGCTTTAGGCCCGATGGGGAACTTTGCAGCTGTCACTGAAGCAAACGTCCCACAAACGCACCATTCCCATTACCAGTCTTGCCAGTCACATTGTATTTTTATCTGCAGACGGGCGGCAACAGGTTTCTATCTCGTGTCTGCTATTAAAATGTAAACAATCCAATGTAAACCGTCATGTGAATCATTCATTTCCTGCGACATTAGTATTATTCGAACATTGTGCCTAGGATGGGCGCGAACGCGATGGGCTCGTCAAAACTATGATTTGGCTCGACACACGATCACTTTGCCTACCTGGTTGGCTCTTTGGATTAGAGTCATAGCTGATCATTCTTTAATGCCGCAACAGAACCTAAGTAGTGAAGACTCGAAGCCAAACAGAGCACCCACAAGGGAATTTTTTGAGCTGACATAAGGCCTAAAGCGTCATTAATCCAAAGCACAAGCTCGGTAAGGATGACTCGATGTCTCAAGTATACCAAGTTCCGGTATCTTCTTTTCGGATCACACGTGGTCGGAGGAAACCAGATAACAATTTGACGTGACTGCGATATTGCAACGTCGACTCAGGCAACCTTACCGGGTTGTCAGTTAGGGGTGGGAACGTGCCTACTAGTTCGCCAGGGGTTATTTACAAGGAAGAACCAATAACATGCAGAGTTCTAGCCATCACTGCAGGGGCGAAGACCCGACTCGTTCGCGCGGGAAGCAGATCGAGTGCCGGGTGAGGGGGGCAATGGTCTGGCCTCGATCACACTTTTAACGCATTCAATGAGTGCAGGCAGCTTTGGTGTCGGCTCTCCAGTCCATCATGTTAGGTCGGATCCAGTCAGGATCCCCTTTGTTAACTCAATGGCACAAATAAATATAGGCCATGTGTCGTCCGGAGATGTCGCGCATTCGGAAAATATCGTCTCAAGGTACGCAAACGTTTGTGCCAAGCCCAAGATGTCTGTGCTCGCTATTATACTCTTTAGCGCTACAGCGTTCCTGGCTGTGCCGCTCGAGGCATCACCATTGGCTAACAAGATCCCGGTCAGCAACCAGTCAAACGCTTTCACTCCTCTAACTTTCCGGGCAGACGGGACCTTCCAAGTCGCTATTTTCGAAGACCTACATTTTGGTGAAAGTATGTTCCCTGCCCCCGTCACCTACACGACCCGACGTACTAAGCGCAATTAACCTAGATGCTTGGGATCAATGGGGCCCGCAACAGGATATCAATTCCGTCAAAGTCATCAACGAGATCCTTGATAAAGAGTCGCCTGGTCTCGTCGTATTGAACGGTGATCTTATCACAGGCGAAAACGGGTTTTTGGAAAATAGTACCGTGTACATTGACCAAATTGTCAACCCGCTTGTTAGTCGCAACCTTACCTGGGCATCCACGTATGGAAATCATGATTACGATTTTAATATCTCGGGCGCCGCTATCCTCGAACGTGAAAAGCGCTGGAAGAATAGTAGAACATCTCGCATGGTGTGGACGCCAGACGCCGGCGTGTCAAATTACTATCTTCCCGTCTACGACCACGGTTGCGTAAACGAAATCGCCTGCTTTCCACAGCTGATCCTCTGGTTCTTCGACAGCAGAGGTGGATTCAAGTACCAGGAAAAGGATGCCTCAGGCAACAGGGTAGGGCAACCAGACTGGGTGGACACCAGTGTCGTAGACTGGTTCCGGCGGACGAGCGGCGGTCTCGCAAAGAAGTACGGTAGGACAATCCCCTCGCTAGGCTTCGTTCATATCCCCCCGTTTGCTTCTTACGCTCTGCAAGAGGCCGGTGTCGATCCGAACAGGGAGCCGGGGATTAACGATGACGTACCATTGGCTCCGCAAGCTCAAGGGTGGTGTCGCGACGGTAGCAATAACGGGACCTGTACCTATGGTGCCCAGGACACGGAGTTCATGCAAGCTGTATCTCATACAGAAGGCATGATGGCGCTATTCTCGGGGCATGATCATGGCGATACATGGTGCTACAAATGGGATAGGCTGTTACCTGGCATGGATGTGACACCAGCAAACAACATAAGTCTGTGCTTCGGGCAGCATACAGGTTATGGCGGTTATGGTAACTGGGAGAGAGGATCTCGTCAGGTTCTGGTATCGAAAGAAGGTCTCGCGAAATTCGAGGCGGATACTTGGATTCGCTTGGAATCGGGGCATATAGTGGGCAGTGTCTCGCTCAATGATACATACGGACAAGATATTTATCCTAAGACGGAGAACTCGATGACATACTGCCCGACCTGCGACTATTAAGAAGTTGCACCGAAAGGCAGCTTGTAAAGATGTAGAGGGTGGGATAGGGATTCATCGAATTTGAGAGAGAGGAAAAAAATTTCATGTCAAGATCACGATCGTTGAGAATTCATCCCCAATTTTGCAGGTCATCACCTTGACTTTCATATACTGTAAACTCGGTATACAGACCTGAAGCAAGGTTACTGACTCATCTCTGGACATATTCATTCCTACACCCCTAGCCCCTTCGCCCCTCCCCCACACCGACGGGGACTGCCGTAATCCCACTAACAACGGTTCGGCCCTTGCTGTATGTACTTGTCGTAGCGAGGCATATATCGATTCTGCACTGTATGTACGTAGAAGGAATATCTAGACGGTCCGCATTGCGAAAATGTCGGTATAGCGATGGTCACCTGTATGTACTTACTGTAAACTATGTATGCTTGTCGGTCTCATACATGTAAGTAACATCTTGGTGACGAAAGTTCCCGCATAGTTTACCATCCTCAGTGGGTTGAACCACTATATTTCAAAGTTTGGTTGCTACCAACCCCTGTTGTATCTCGGTCTATGATGACTACCGATGGGCTGGGAAGAGCGTCTCTTTCCCTGTTTCGCTCAAATAAGTAAGCTGCTGTACCTACACATCACTGAGCTGAGTAATTACCGTTAACAGAAAATCCACGCCATTAAACTGAATATAGGTTAGTACTTTCCCGCATCACCCACTAACCAATCTTATGGCTTCAGCATAAATCATTGGGTCCCGAGTTTCTGAAGTAGCATCGCAACTTTCTGGGATCCTACGTATGTACATAGAATGAGTTTCGCGTAGAAGGTCGGTGAAGAAACAATCACAAGGCATTATTACATTCGATAAAGTTATCACAGCCAAGGGCGGATTGGTGATCGTCTAAACCCTAAGAGGATGGTATACCGAAAATCCGCCTGCAGCAGCACGAGATCCGTGCCCTCGCTTGAACAGAGTGTGTCACTCACTATTAGGTATAAGATAGCATTCCGCGTCGTACGATGACATAGCGATTGCTTGTTCCTCGAAGGTATTGTTCCTGTTCGTTTCGACAGAATTGTAAATAATTGCTAGTTTCTTCGAGCATAATTTTGAGTAAAAGTGTCGAGTTGCCTGTGTCACAACCTAAGCTGTTGACGCATACTCTTGCGCTCAACAGAAATAATCAGTATGTCGAGCATATACAGCGTCGCATATCAATTCCTTCTCCCATCAAAGCCCCGCTTAGTTGAAAAGGACGTACCCAACTTACAAGGAAAAGTACTCCGCCCTTAGCTCCCAATACATGTGACTCCTGTTTCCGCTTGGATCTATGGTATAACACTATAAATGTAGATGAAGATGCTGACAATTCTTCCAGGTCATCATCGTCACCGGCTCGAATGTTGGTCTAGGTAGAGAGATTGCCCAGATTCTCTACACTAAGAATGCTAAGGTGTATATGCTTGCGCGGTCCGAGGAGAAGACCAGGCGGGCCATCGATAGCATCAAAGCTGCCGTGCCTAACTCCAGCGGGGAGTTGATATATTTACATCTCGATCTCGCTGATCTGCGTACCATAAAATCCACTGTAGACGAGTTTCATCGCAAGGAGACTCAGTTACATCTACTCTTCAACAATGCCGGCGTGGCATTTCCCCGGAGCGGCGAGAAGACGAAACAGGGATACGCACTCGAAATCGGAGTGAATTGCCTAGGGACCTTTGCTCTGACCAAGCTTCTGACGCCAACGATCGTTTCGACCGCCAAGATCTCACCTCCCGACAGCGTTCGCGTTATTTGGGTGTCATCATCAGCCGCCGAGTCGTACAGCGCGAAAAACTTTGTACAGACTATCGAGAATGCTGAAACGCTCACTCAAATGGGGAAATACTTCTCTTCAAAGCTTGGTAACTATCTCCACGCAACTGAATATGCGACCCGGTATAAGGAGGACGGCGTTGTATCAATCCCGTTGAATCCCGGTGCGCTCGATTCAGAGTTATGGCGCGAGCAACTATCCGTGGTCAGGTCACTTCTGCGAGTGGCCCTCCTATATCCCCCTCTATACGGTGCCTACACGTGCTTATATGCCGCGTTCTCTCCCGAGATTACGCTGGAAAAAACGGGGTCTTATGGTAAGTAAGGTCTACTATCCTCGATAGCGAATGGGAGACGTCATATTAATTAATATGAGGGTAGTCGCCCCTTGGGGTCAGTTATGGGATCCGGCCCCAGAGATGGTGAGGGCAGGCAAGAGCCCGGAAGAAGGTGGTGATGGTACCGCGAACGAATTTTGGGAGTGGACCGAGGCTCAGGTGAATAAGCACATGTAGCTTGCCAACGGGCTGCCTAGGATCACAACTATTTATTCATTCAACCCACACATTCAAACAGGCGACAAAAATACCTAGGACGAGAAGGTTTTTTTTCCCCGGGGGGTCTGTCTGGTTGCTCCGTAGGGGATGTAAAACATGCAAAAGGCCTTTAGGACAAGGTAACTGTTAGATAGATAGATAATAAATACAATTGTCGGAGCGTCGCCTCGCGGTTCGGCCTTAAATGTTAAAGATATCCTATCTATCTATCCTATTTATTTATTGTATTTATTATCTTTGTCAAGCAAAATATAGAGAGATGAAAGAAGCAAGTCTTTGAGTGAGGAAAAAATCAAAATGTCTGCCTCCACGCGGAATCGAACCGCGGATCTTGTCATTACACCGCAAGTAGATTGATTAACTGTACGAGTGACACGCATTACCCCTGTGCCATAGAGGCGACAATACTACAGTACGCCGTTAAACCACTTATAACAAAAAGCCAGGTCACTACGAACTAAGACCCGAAGACATGCATGGAATGTCAGTTAACAAATGAAATCATGTGGTCGCGTCTCACTACGGAACTCACGATCGCTTGGTTAGAGTGGCTGCTCCGACGCTAGTTGCTTGATTGCTTTGAGCGTCCTGACACATGTGGAATGTTGACTAGAGATACCAAGCCCAAGGTAGACTGTTCCAGTCGTACATGCGAGCAGCAGTCTATTGATCTACAGGCAACGTCATTTGTATTGATCACGAAGAGAGCGCTAGCGTATTCGTACAGTTTCGTCTTGTTTCTGTAAAATTGCCAGTAGCTGATTACTTCGAGGACCCCACGCATATATTCTTTAGTACGTGGACGGGACAACAGCGAGTCTGCCACCATCAAAGTTGAAGATTGCCCCATTGCAGTACGCGCCAGCCTTGCTCGCTAGATATAGAATCGTGCCGGCAAGTTCTTCCTCCGTGCCGAACCGCCTCGCGGGCATGAAGTCAGGATGATCGATGCCTTCTGTTTCCGGATCCCGCGACGATATGATAGGCTCGGCCATTTCGGACATGAAGACTACCCATGCGTTAGCGACGTTTTATCTTCTTCCCACGAGCTGGTCGAAGATGACGAGTCAAGGTAAGCTGATATGCAAAGCAATAATCGGGGGAAACAGGCAGTACGGAGTCACATCACGTACATCCAGGCGCCAGCGTATTCACCCGGATCTGATACGGCGCTAAGTTCGTCGCCGCATGCTGCGCAAGTTGGGTAATAGCAGACTTGCTTGCGCCATAGGCAGGTGCCGTGGCCTTTTCGCGGCTATACGCACAGATGCTCGACGTGACGATGACCTGGCTCTGCACCAAGGGGACCTTGCTTCCCTCCTCTCGAGGTTTTCCGAAGCCGCCTTTCAACGCGTTCTTGTTGCCGGCATCTAGCAGCTCCAGGAAGGCGAGGATGGTGAAATACGCCGCAGTAGCGTTGACGTGCATCGTATCGGTAAAGTCCTCCATGGTCACATGATCAAACAACCTCTTGCGCAGCTCGTGTATACTTAGGGTACTGTCGTAGGACGTATACGGTCCCATAATGCCTGAGTTAGCAACTACCAAGTTCACATATCCAACTTCACTAGTGAGACGGTCTACGACGCTTTGTAGCGACTCCTTGGAAGAGACGTCACACACTAAAGGGATGATATTTGGGTGTGATGACTTGAGCACTTCTGAGTCAGTTACCGTTGAGTTTGCAGGTAAGCACGATAAAGAAAGGTTATAAGGTGTGTATGACGAGAATCTTAGAAATAGATCGCAGATTTCTCAAGCACCGAATGCAACACGATTGAGAAGTGTACTGACAGCGGCTGCTTCGAGAGCACTTGCTCGTCGTCCGAGTATGTAGACTTTCGCACCGGCGTTCGCAAGGGCCTTAGCCATCATGTGTCCGATTCCTGCGCTTGGCTTATCAGGACTTGTGCGAGGATCGATCAAGTGATTCGAATGAACGTACCGGTACCACCGCCGGTTATGATGGCGACCATGCCATCCACTCTGAATAAGGCCGACATGTCCATTTTTCAAGCTTTGATTCTTCGTCTCTCACTATGCGTATACAGCGACAGGGGATTTACTTGATGACAACACGACGACCATGTGTCCTTTTGCGCTCCTTTATAAGCGCCGTCAGTCACGAGAAATCGGCGATATAGATGGAAAATATCGTATCGCCGATCGATTTATCGGCGAAAGAATACGTCTCCATGCATAACACCGGCTTGTTAGAAGCGCCTTGTGTCATGATTATTGGTGATTGTGCGTGTTTTAGATATATCTGCAGATTAGAACTTGAGAACATAGCTCCCCGTCTACATCAACGTGACTTCATCTCAAAAAACGTGAGAACCAGTCATGATAACTGCACATGCTCTAGGCTGAGAAGGTAGGGATTTACGACGCGGCCAGGAAGTAACCTGGGATCTTAAGTATGTGTGTGTATGTGTGTGTGATCCCTACCGTAGTTTTTCTCATCAAATTGGAGTGACGGATTTAGGACCTTATATCCGTCAAATTTACGCAGGTTTTATGGAACCTAGGCGGCCGTGACCATATGTTTTTGGTTTAACCGCCAAATGCCATTTCAAGAGTAACTTTACCCATTCATTTACCAGGATGCTGAGCTGTCGCCGTATTGTATTGTTGGAAGTTCACCAAACAGGGTCCAAATTGTCGATTGCGTGTAAGTGTGTGTGTGTGTGTGTGTGTGTGTGTGTGTGTACAAATATTGATTATGTAGGCAGACGACATGTATAATTTAGAATGGTATTAAATCCATTCACTTAGGCAAGTTTAGTTGCTAGCCTATACCGTTATCTGCATGATCAGTGGTATATATAGTACAGAGTTAGAAAGATCCTACGAGTATAGATTTCTTCAGTAGCATGCGTGGTCGATTCACCTCACGGTTCGAACGATTCTCCCTTCTTCACCCCTCTCAACAGCCTCAATGCGACCACGCACAACCTCCCAAACCTTATCCGCAAGTTCCTCCACGCCGAGATCGGCGTCTACGATTTGTATGTCTTCTTCTTCTTGTCGAAACTCGCCTTCCGTCTCAGCGTCTCCCCTCTCACGATCCCTCGCATTGCTGCTATTTGTGCCATTCCCAAACAAGATTCTCTCCGTCCTCGATGAGGAGCCCTTCCCATTGTTCGTAGTAGCGGCCTTGCTGGCGCTGACGGCGGTACCTAGATCCCCCATACTGAGGCCCCAGAAGAGCTCTCGGACGCGTCGCTGCATCTCGCCCTTCTCATACACTTCTCCACCCCAGCCGCCACGCGACCGGGCTACCGATTCCTCCAGGTCTAGGAATAGGACCATGTCCGGGCGTGGTAACCCGATTTCGGGCGCTTTGGCCCAGGATAAGGACAGCGAAGACAATTGTTTTGCGGCGCTGTAGACGATGCCGCTATGATAGAATCGGTCACAAATGATCGTGTGGCCTGCGTTCAACTCTGTTTTGATCTTTTGTCTATATAGTTTATAAGTACGACAAGACAAGGTGCGAACATGGTAGAAAAAAGAAAAAGGAAACGTACGCTGCTTCCCACCGGTTTGCACTAAATAGCAAATGAATAACATGGTCTTCTATCTCGGCCTGTCCCTTGAGATACGCATCTATCATCTGGCCGATGGGTGTCGTTCTGTCTATGAAGAGTCAGTATTTGGGGGAGGGATACAACAGTCACACATACGTACCGGGAAACCTCATAAACTTCACTTCTCTCCCGCTTTCAATGCACCTCAGCTGCAATAGTTTGGCCTGTGTCGTCTTGCCGGCTCGATCCATACCCTCAAAGACGATGAACGCCCCTCTTGCGGGCGGTTTCTTCTGCTCGCTCTCGTATTCCACGCCCAACATACCATCTTCCTTCTCGGGCGAAACCTCACCGTTTCCCGATGGCACGTCCGGGGACATTTGCGGTGGGATGGTAGCCTGTGCCGGGTTCTGCGGCGAGATCTGCGGTGCTACTAGTACGGGCGCTGGCGTGTTGGGAACAGCCACGCCCACGCCCACATGCACGGTGATGCTGCTACCGTCCGGCGCTGGTGACGCGGTATGAGACAGGGCCGAGCCTGGAGTACTGGGAGCCGGGTCTGATGTTGGTGCTGGTGCTGGTGCCGGGACTTCTCGCAGTGGTGATCTGCTCGCCGACTTGATTTGCTGCGCGTGGGCTTCCTGGGCCTGGGCCTGAAGCTGTGCCGAAGGTGAGGGTGAAGGTGGCGACGGCGGGTCCTCCTCCTGCGGCGGGGATGGTGAGGAGGGCGAAGCTGGTCGTGCGGCCTTCTGCTCCTTAGGCGTGGACTGCAGGGCGACAGCCGACGAGGCAATGGTCGCAGCGGTGGCAAGATCGTTCATGGACGCCATTTCTCAAGACGCGTCTCCGTCCCCCCGTCTTATGTGGTAAGCGCCTAGCTGGCTGGCCTGATCGATCGAAGAAGGATCTTGTGCTAAGCGCCCTTCGTTCCCGTCTTTCCCCCTTCACGTGATACTCGAGCACATATAAAGCTAAGAGTTCGAGGGGGCCAGCTCTCTGCAGTAAGCGAGCGTTGCGGCAGCGTTGATTGGATGCAAGGTGAGCGACAAAGCACACGAGGTCAAGTAGCTAAAACCTTGTAATCATGCAATGTTCGATTGGATGCCAGGTGGCGGAGCATACATACATAGTACATGCTCTAGGAAGATGTGCATTGGTAGGGTTACTTTAATACTTAGGGTTGATGTCACGATCATGGTTGGATCATGGGTTGTTAGATCATGGCGCACGGCGACTTCCTAAGTGGAGCCTTCCCCCCCCAAAAGAGCCCCACTATAATGGGGTCGTACGGTAATAATTCTTTGCACAAACATTTGCATAACAACCTCCTACATAGGTAGTAGAAGGTTCAAGACAAACAACCTCTTCAAGTGCTCCAAGGCAGTAGCAAATATCATCACGTGATTGCGTATGTATTTCGCGTCTTGTTTTGTTTTACCATTTTACTCCCTCTATTAGACGAGCAGATCAAAATCATTTCAAAATACCCGCTCGATCATGCTCTTCGCCGATTCCGTAGGGTCCATGACCCGGACGTCGTGTATCTGCTGTTCAGTTTGTGTGGCTATCGGGCGGCACACATGCTTTGTTATCCCGACGAGCGCAAAGTAATGGACAGCTTACAGTTTATCCAAAAACGTGTCCAAGAAGGTGTTCTTCGAGGCGAGGAAAGACCTACACTAACAAAGTTCCTGCCCGAACCTCATTCCCCTCCGTCTTCCGTGACTCCTATGACTACGTTGCAAGGCGATCCCTTTGATCGTACTCTCTTCGAGTCGGTCACGAAGCGTCGCTTCTTTTTTACGGGGTCGTTTGAGATATACCGGGTTGCGCCCAACTTCCAAAAAGACAACCGTGGTCTCTACGATTA